GTTCGGGAAGTATGGTTTTTTCGCTATGCCAAATCAATTAGGATGTTAACGAAGAATGACTTTACATCACTGTATAGCTGTTAGACCTCAGTGGTTTGGATTCCTGGTTTGGGTTTGAAGCTTCTTTATTATTTGAAAATGTATAAATTAGCAAGAGAGTAATGTCAGTAAATTTGTTTTAATTCTAAAGCCTGACAAAAAAATTAGTATTGAAAGATGCAATTTAAGAATTTATGAAGTTTTTAATGTTGCGAAAGTAGGAGTCGACTAATTTGGATGAAAGAATGCTATTCGAGAGAGATGGCGTTTTTATGAATAAGTTGATTGTAATAGAAGTTAAATCATAATGAGGTTCTGCCGACTTTATGGCCTGAGGAAGTTGATAAATATTTTTATGTATGATGATACTCATTGACGAGAAAATGAAATTGGTTTTGTGTTGGTAACTGCTTTTAGAAAGTATCTAAGCGTTTATAAAATTCCAGGTTCACAGCCAAGCAGCGGAGGTTTATTTGGCTCTAAACCTGCTACGGGTCTATTTGTTTCAAACACTGGTAAGTTATTTTCAACTGGATTTGTTCTGTTTTTAATCGTGTGTTCAGTCTGAATTATGGATTGAAGAAAACTAATACTTTTTGGTACTGCTTTTTATCATAGTGCTTTATCAGAAGGAATTTGTCGTTCTTTTAACACTAACAATTTCATTGAGAAGATCTTTGACACGCTCAGTAGGAACGCACTTTAGGTTCCCTTTTTGGAAATACCGCAACATCTTCGGCACTCTTTGGTTCAGCTGTATCGAAACCGACAACGTCACTTTTTGGATCAAATACTGGACAAGCAAGTAAAGAACTATTTGTTTTAGCGTTCAGATTGATGCCAATATTTTTCTTTATCAAAACTTTATTGTATTTTTGTCTTCTATAACTTCTCTTATATTTTAGCTTTTGGTGCTCAAGCCCCTGTGATTGCTCCAGCACCGGCAGCACCTATAGTGTTGGGGGCTGATGTCAACCAGACCCTATTGCAGAATGCACTAATCGAAGCCCAGATCGCGGCTTCACCGTATGGTGATAGTCCCCTTTTAAAATTGGTTCCTAAGGAAGTTTCGGAAAAAAATGATGTTCCAAATCCTACCAGGTAATGATAGTCACGTTTATGTTTCAGGCCTTGTAAAGTCTAACTTGATTTCTTTCAGTGTCGAAAGACAAATGCGGTTCTTAGCTTCTAAAAAAGAAAAAGGAGCAAACACGACTACAGTGAATGGACCATCCGCTCTTGGTTCTATTCCAGCTGCTGGGTTACCTATATCAATGCCGTCGTCGTACGGCAGAAATCGTACTTCACCTGGTGATTTTACTTACCGTCCTGTGTTTTCACCTCCAGCTTTAAAAAATAGAGTGGTGTCACCTATTGTTAATCTCAACACTTCATTAAACAAGTATTTTTTTCTCTCATTATTTTTTCAATTATTTGTTTTAATTTGAAACTCATTTGCTTTTAACAGTTCTGCTCTCTACTCTGTGGTATATTGTTAAATTGGTTGTAGAATAATTTTTTAATTTATTCTAAGAGCAGTTTTTTGTAGTACTTGATGTTCTTCAAACTACTAAACTAGAGTCAATTATTTGATATTTTTTTATACTCATGTTTTCCAGTAAAAGCTTTTCAGGTCGTCCTTACTTAATGGCTCAGAAAGAGATGATAGTATTGCAGTTTTGCTGGACCAGAATGACAGTAGCCTAATCTTACAAAATAGAAGGACCTCTAATGTTAAGCGATTGGATCTTGCCTTGCTGCATAGATCTCTGGTAACCTAGTTATTTCGATCAGATGGAAAAGTATTGTCGTGTTTAATTGTTGTTGATAGCGTCATTGTGGAATGCTTAAATTTCTGGACCTGTTCAAGCTACAGGTAAAAAAATAAGATAATCTTGAGCATTTTTTATATTTTAGCAAGAAAGCAGAAATCGTAATGCTCAAAATTTGTCTTTTTCTGCTTCTGCGCAGTTCGCTGGCGAAGACCATCAGGATGATCCTGCTTTGCATGATCGTGAATCTTCTCAAGTACACATTTTAATATGTTTATTCTGCAAATCACTTTGATTTATTTTATAATTTTATTTGTAATGGATTTTTTGCAGGCTGCATCCTATGGTGATGGGGCCGGAAGTGATCCCTTGCAGGGGCAGAGGAATGCGTCACAAAGTGTAGAAACCCCTGTCAGCAGCGATGGTGATAACATCTCCTCTGATAGACGACACATTTCCCTTCGTAGTGACAGGATGTCTCAAGCTGCGGCTACGAAAGCCAGCCCAGAAGTAAGGCCAATCGTTTTTCTTATAAAGCCTGTGAACTGTTCCTACTTCATTTAATGGAATTATCACTTTGATCAGCCTTTTGCACCTTCATTTTATGATTTTTGATCTTGTTAAGAATCGTGGCAGCGGCAGTGCTAACCGCGATAAAAGCAGTTTAGCTAGCCCGGAAAGCTCAAGTTTTAACAGTTATGCAGGTTCTTCAGCTCGTACAGTAGTTTCACATCCAGCTGGAATAAAACTAACTAGGTATGCGATCTACTTTCTGCTTGATCTTTACTTTATCCTGTTTGTTTTCTTATATATATATATATATATATATATATATATAT